GCACAGGGATCACCGTGTGCATTCCTTCCCCACATCCCCTTTATCCTGGTTTCCCCAGGAAGGCACAGGGGCACTGTGCACTCCATGCCCTGGCTGCTCAACCCAGCTGGCTAAGCCTAAACCTAAAACGTATTCAAATAAATGAAATGTGTCAAAACCAGCATGGGCAGCAGAAGGGAGCATCTACTCTTACATCCTCAAGTTCATACAATCCTTTTTTACCCCCTCTTGTGCTATCCCTTTTATTTTGTCAGAATGGCTTTGACTTTGGTTGGGTTTTTCCTGTTTATTTTTTATTCTGGATCAGAAATGTACTGCTGGGTATTTCCCACAAGTCAGTGAGGTCACATACAAGTTTGATAAGAAAATCGTCTCTTTACACAAAGCTGAATTTATCACAGTTTCTGGAAGTATTCTGGAAGCCTTGCATGAAAATAAACGGGGCTGAAACAGCTGTGAATGAACATGTGAAACTGTGAGCAAAAATATGACATGTGAGAAGATGACCACCTGTATAAATGATACGACACTGGTAAAATTCCTCAGGATCAGTCTGGGATTATTAACTTGCCACCAGTGAATGTTTCTTTAACATCTATCACCTATTTCCATGCACATACCCACTGCCATTTCCAGGCACATACATACACACAAATATGTGCATATATAAATCCTAAAGATACCTGTTGAAGCCAAAATTTTGAGAGGCACTGTCGGTGCAGGAGGAGTTTCTGGACATCAGAAGGGACTTCCCTGTGGAAAGGGAGGTCGGGAATTGGAACTGCCCAGGGAGGTGCTGGAGGAAGGCCTGGACGTGGCACTGAGAGCTCTGGGCTGGGTGACAAGGTGGGAATCGGGTGACAGGTTGGGCTCAGCGGCTGGGAGGGCTTTTCCAACCTCAGGGATTCTGGAATTCTGTGACAACCTAACAATCCCGAGGAACGGAAAACAGGGTAATGGAATCCACAGCACAAAATATAATCACACCCTTCTTCACAAGAACACCAAAACAACCCACTAAAACAACCAGCTAAAGCACAGGAAGCGGCACCAACTACTCGGCCACAAATGTTCTGCGAGCCACAGAAAAGAAACACAGGGATAAAATTACAGGTCACATATTTCCAGGGGAGACAAGAACGCTCTGATGGCACTCCCCAGTCAGGGATCCTGCTCCGTGCTGGGAGAACCAAGCCTGCCCCACCTGAAGCACTGCACCGCGTCAGAAAGGATTTAATTGCCAGCACTAAACCTAGCAGTGCTGTAAGCGAGTCCAGAACGCTGCCCGGGCCCAGCAGCAGGGACCTCCAGCAGGACAGGAGGTCCTGAAGGTGAAGAATGGCCTGGGAGGGAGCAGGAGGCACCCAAAACACAGGGCTCTGCGCAGAGCAGCGTGCCACAGCAGCTCAGAGGGCTCGCTGCCTCTTCGAGCCACCCCGACAGCAAACACCGCACATCTGGCCTCCAAACACAAACTGCAAAACAGCTGGGGCGTCCTGCAACACGCAGCTAAGAAAAGAAAAACCAATTACAGCAGGAAAGCTGCTCCAGTGGCAAAGAGCAACTCCCCTGAGTGGTTTGCACAAGGGCTGGTTCCTGCCCCCCATGCTGTCCTTGTGCAGCTCGTTTTTGGGACACGTGCCTTAGGGGAAACCAAACCTTCTGCAGAGTTGACACAGGATGTAAAAATGAAATGCAATCAAGTAAAACACGATAACCTCAACAAGCTGACAGCAAGAAATAACACCCTTTATCTGCTTCTGTACATCGGTAATATATATATATATCTATACACACGTGAGGTCCAAGGGGTAAAGTACTCAGCATGTTTCATAAATCATTTATGTCTTTGCTGAATATCCAAAATGCATTTCCATACAGATACTGCATCCAGCAGTATCACTCAGTGAGCTTTCTGATCCATTCCAACAGGCTGATACAGCAGAGACAAACTAATGCACAATGGGGCTCCCCCTCACCAATGTAACTTCTTGGAGGCATTAAAAAATTCAAAAATTCAATTGCCATTAACCGGAAGCTCCCTACTCCTTTCTATTCCTCAAGAAATAAAATTGCATTGTGCTCAGTCCAGCCGACAATTCCATGGTTAAAAAAAAAAGGGGAAGATATTAGCACTAGAAAAACAGTAAGAAGTGACCTATTGTTCTCATTTCTGAATGCTGTCGCATAGTCAGCATTTGGAAAAGCTTACAGGGGTTGAAGTCAAAGTCTTTAGAGCCCTGAAAGTCTTGAGACAATCTGATCTTGACAAGTCACAGCAATCTACTCTGTCCCCCTCCCCTGACACAGCAATCTCAATTTCAGTTTTGCACTCAGCCAGGCTCTACCTTCCACAGTTCCGTCTGCCTCCCTTCAGGCAGCCTGGACTCACGCAGCATCGAGGAATCGTGCACGCTGCTGCCCAGGGGGAAAGGCAAGGGTAAAATAACCCACACAGAACCTCTCCTGACCACTTCAGACGTCTCCATCAGCCACCAAAAGCCCTCACCTCGTTTCTTACAGTTCTAATTTACACAATAATGGCCTCAAGATTCCCAAAGGCCACTACAGCTCCAGTGGAGAAAAGAGAGAGAGAGGCAGAG